CAACCTGCTGTTAATGATCCTTGGATCAATGATGAAATTAAGAAGGAAATCAAAACATTTTCTTGAACTGGATGACAATCATGACACAAACACCGAAAATCTATGAATTACATTGAAAGCAATGTTAGAAGGGAAATTCACAGCCTTAAATGCTTTCAACAAAAAGACAAAAAGATCAAAAATTAACAATCTAATGTTACATCTCAAGGAAGTAGGAAAAGAAGAACAAATCAAACCCAAATCTAGCAGAAAGAAAACAAATAAATCTCAGTGCAGAACTAAATGAATTGAAAAAAGATACAAAGGATCAATGAAACAAAAAGTTGGTTCTTTGCAAAGATAAAATTGATAGACCTCTAGTTAGATTAACCAGAAACAGAAGAGAAAGGGCCCAAATAAGCGTAAACAGAAATGAAAAAGGAGACAATACAACTGATTACATGTACAAAATGCAAAATATCATCAGTGAATAATATGAAAATCTCTCCGCACACAAACTAGAAGATGGATAAATTCCTGGAAACACATGACCTCCCAAACTTGAATCAGGAAGAAACAGAAATTCTGAATGAGTAGTAATGAGCAGTGAGCAGTAAGATCAAAGCACTAATAAAATATCTACCAAGAAAACAAAGTCCCAGACCAGAGGGATTCACAGCTAAATTCTACCAGACCTGCAAAGAAGAACTGGTACATATCATATAGAAATTATTCTCTAACACTGAGGAAGGAATCCTCCCTAACTCATTCTATGAGCCAGTATCGCCTTGATACCAAAGCCAGGGAAGGACACAACAAAAATAGAAACCTACAGACCAATATCCCTTATGAACATAGAAAGCACTATTGATATAACATGGATAAATTTTCAATTACTTTTTCTGAGTGAAAGAAGACAGTAAAAAAGGGTACACTCTGCATGTCCATTTATATCAAGTTCAAGGAAATGCTTGAGGGGTGTGGGCAGGTGGGTAGAGGCAGGTGTGGGGGATTACTAAGAGGCATGAGAAGCTTTTGAGGGTGATGGGTAATTCATTATCTTGATTGTGGTGATGATTTCATGTGCGTATACATATCTCAAAGCTGATCACTTTAATACCTTAAATGTGTCAATTATGCCTCAGTAAAGCAAAAGAGAAAAAAAGAAAGAAAGCAAGAAAGAGAGAGAGAGAGAGAGAGAGAGAGAGAGAGAGAGAGAGAGAGAGAGAGGAAGGGAGGAAGGGAGGAAGGGAGGGAGAGGCAAAACAAGTTCTGAGATATGACTTCTTGCCTATTACAGTGGTCAAAAATAAAACAAAATAACCTATTTCTTAGAACAGGAACACATCTTTAAATGTACATAGAAACAAAGTTCTGTACTACTCTCATTTTAACAATAAATAGGAATATCTATTGATACTTTAAAGCATTTGAAATGTTCATTTAAAACACAAGCAATATATTGACAAGCTTGATTCATTAATGATTTGAAAGTTTTCTCATCAAAGGGAAGAATCTTTTGAAAGCCATCTTAGAATGTTAACATGTATAGATACCACAAGTGTGACCAAATATGTTTCCAGCACAACTAATAGTATACTATACCAAGAGTATTAAAGGAAGAACAGAATTTAGGTAATTTGACTGTTTGCCTTCCCCAATTTATCAAATGTCAAATCTTTTACTTATTTTAAGGTATATTGTAAAGTTGACTTCATATATAGTGGGCTATCATTTAGGTATTACAAATCAGAAATTTAAAAGTGCTTTTGTGTCATTGGCGTTTAATAATTCTTTAGTAAAGTCATCACTAAATTACAACTTGAAAGCTAAAGGGCTTGTGAGATTTTATAATAAGCTTAGTTTTGCCCACTAAGTGACACAGTTCATATATATTGTAGCACTAATGAATTCATACCTACATGCTCAATTTTGGATATGCCACTGCACATAACCAATGACATCGTATGTTTTACATCACTCATTTCTATGTGTCTGGATTCTCATAAATAGTTTAAAGCAAGCAAACATGATCCTGTCCAAGCCAGGCCTCCTTGTAGTAGAATTTTTATTTCCTAAACAATTTCAAATGACATGATTTACATGCGCTAGCCGTTCTGTCCAAACGGGTTAAAATGGAGGAAAGGCAACAGTTCAAACATTACATTGTAATTCTCCAGCAAGCCCAAAGGAATAGGGTTGAGATAAATGAGGACAATCTGGCGCCTGAATAATAGACCTGAATAAACTCTTACTGGATTCTCCCAGAATATTCCCACTGTATAGTGATCATTCAATGTCTGGAGCTTCTTGAATCTCCCTGAATCTCAATTTCTTAATTTCTGAATTGGTAATAATAATAAGAATAAAAGTATCAATATAATAGTGATGATACCTGACACCACTTTCACATGCTGCTCTAAGGATTCAGAGGGAGAACATAAGAAACTCAATCACCTACCGTGTTTCCTAGAAAATAAGACCTACCCATAAAATAAGCCCTAGCAGGATTTCTAAGCATTTGCACAATAGAAGCCCCACCCTGAAAATAAGCCCTAGTGACCCCGTGGCTACACAGCGCATCTGCACAACCCAGGCATTTCCTCACCCAGCGGGAAAGAAGCCGAGCAGCCCTTCTCATCTGCCCCGTGAGAGCTCTGTTGCTCGGCATGAGAGACTGGGGCCAACGGATCTAAGGGAAATGGAGTCGCAAGAAATTCAGGATGGAACTCGGGGTTTGGAGAGTTATGATGATGTTCTAGAAGATGACTTAACTATATTTGAATAAATGTAGATTGTTGTACCATACTTAAAAAAAAAATAACACATTCTCTGAAAATAGGGTGTCTTCTTGAAGAAAAATAAATATACGACCCTGTCTTATTTTTTGGGAAACGCGGTAGTTACTACTCCTGGAGTTCATTTGTTTTATTTCAAATGATACAGATTGCGAGCCATTTTGACATCTGAAATTTTATCCTGAAGACACAGAGACCAATAAAGCCAGTCCTCACTGTAGGAATGCTCAGTTTACCAAGGAGTCCAAAAGTTAAAGTAGATCCAGAGAACAGTGCAGTAAAGGCAAATAAAGAACTTGGGTGGTCGAGGAGTCTTCACAGAACTGAAAAGATTTCATCGCCTCAATCTTCTCCACCCATAGTAAAACGTTATTTAAAAGAGGCAACTGAGATCCGCCTGCAAGTGGGTTCCTCCTGGCACAGAGGGTCTGTTCTGCTGAGGTCTATGACTACGCTGTGTGCTGTGGAAGGAGGAAGCAGTGGTTGTGGTTTTCCCAGGACCTTGAGCTCTGTAATCCTAACTTCTTCCAGCCAAATGTATTCTTTTAGAAATATGGAAAGACAGAAACTAAAGCAGAACGAGTTCCTTCAAGCCCTGGGACTCCCAACCTTGTCAAATCTGAACTGGAGGGGATGGACTGCGGGCTCCAGGAGCTAACTGGAAGCCGGGCGACTCCTCCACGGGGTCGTGGGCGCCCCGTCCTCTCCGAGCGGACGCGGCTCACTTCTAGGCTCACTTGCAGGGTGCCGAGTGAGCAGCACCGTCAGCAGAGACGGGTGTCTGCGGTCCCTGGCGTCTGAAACCCAAAAGCCCAGTCACACAGAGAAAAGCGTTTCCGTGTGGTCTGATGAGGGACACTCTTCTTTGGGCAACAGAATCAGAAACAGCTCCATTAAATAAAATGAATACTCATTACTAGGTTTTGTTTTCCTAGTTGAAGCCATATAAGATTAAATAAATAATCACTAGCATCAGACATCAGAAAAAAATAATCTTAATTAAAACTACATTCTGCTAATCTATTTTGGTTTCCCTTTGACTTATATTTCTTCAACAGAAACCCTCTTCCTGAAAATTATTACGGACGCGGGAGCCACGCGCAGTTCGGGCCTGAGTAAACGCAGCACCCTGAGAGCGGGCCACCAACACCGCCAGCCCGGACTGCGGTGCGGGAGCGGGGCTCCGCGCGCGCGCACTGGCGTCCACGCACGGCGGGGGGCGGCGGCCCGCGCGTGCGGGGCTTGTCCGTCTGCGCGCCCGCAGCACGTTTTCAGCCGACCGTCTGGACGGCGTCGCCCAGCGCCCCGCGCACAGCTGGGCGAGAGCTCGGCGCGCCGCGCGGGCGGGCGGGCGGGCGGGCGCACCCAGAGCGCTTGGGGGAGCGCGGGCGGCTCATCTGTTTTCTTTTGTACGGAAATTCTCAGACTTCTAAAACGTGGCGAGCTGCTGTAGCGACCTCGGGTGTCCCCGGCGCGGACGCCCGCAGCCGCCCTCAGCCCCCGCAGCTCCCGCAGCCGCCCTCAGCCCCCGCAGGCTCCCTCAGCCCCCGCAGGCGCCCTCAGCCCCCGCAGGCGCCCTCAGCCTCCGCAGCCCCCGCAGCCGCCCTCAGCCCCCGCAGGCGCCCTCAGCCCCCGCAGCCCCCCGCATTCCCGCGCCGCCCTCCAGCCCCGCAGGCGCCTCAGCCCCCGCAGGCCGCCTCCAGCCCGCAGCCCCCCATTCCCGCCAGCCGCCCGCAGCCCCCGCAGGCGCCCTCAGCCCCGCAGCCGCCGCAGCCCCCGCAGCCCCCGCATTCCCCGCAGCCGCCCGCAGCCCCCGCATCCCTGCAGGCCCCTCAGGCCCCGCAGCCCCCGCAGCCGCCCGCCAGGCGCCCTCAGCCCACCCCCCTGCAGTCGCCCTCAGCCCCCCACCCCGCAGCCGCCCGCAGCCCCCGCAGAATCCGGCCCGGGCCGGCGGGGCTCGCGGGGCGGGGCGCGGCCCGGCAGGCGGGGGCGCTGGGGGGCACCCGCGGACGCGCCGCCAGGGAGAGCCCAGCGCGCGCTCCGCCCGCCTACCCTCACTCCGCTACTTGGACAAGGACATTCCGTGTTTTATTTTAGAAATCGTTTACGAGTAAAATGTGAAAATTAAACTATATCAAGAAAATGTCAGCATGAATTAAAGACGTTAGCTTCATTAACTGTAACAATTGTTTTAGAGGAGTTCAAACAAGCTTCATTTCTTACCAGCACTTGGCTTTTTTGTTGTGTGTCTGACTCTGAACTTGCTGGCGACGTGCTGAAACACAGAATTCACAGTTCTGAAATTGCACTTCAGGCGTGCTAGTGCGCGTGCGCGCGCCTCCCCCGCCCGCTCCCCCGACATCAAATAGCTCTTTACACTCTAACATTTAAGATAACTTTTCCAAAGCATTTCCTCCAAATGTCAGTTGCTGGACGTTTCAAAGGGAAATGAAAATGGAATGTAAACTTTTCTTGCAGAAGATAAAATAGCCTTTATAGGTTCTCTTGAGAATAAGCAGTCTGAACAGTACGATCTGTTCTGAAAACCTGCAAAATCTCTTATTTCAACTAGAAACATAGAGGGAGGAAGCCGACTTAGGAAACTGTCTCGCACTGCCTCCCCTCCGCTCCCGGAGGCGCTGGCCCGCAGACGCGTTCTTGACCACATCTTGAATGTCTCCCCTTTGGTTTCTGCTTGATGGCGCTGGGTCCTTTTGCCATAAAGGTTATCGCAAAACTGCATTCTCACTGTCTCCGATTTTTGTGCTAAAGCCACTACAGTCAGACTTTCACCGGTACCACTCCACAGAAACTGTCCTTGTCAAATCCACCAAAGGTCTCCACAGAGCGGTACCGGTGGCCGTTCCTCGCGGCTCTTCTTGCCTGACAGCTTTTGACAGCGACTCCTCGCGGCCTCTTTGAATCACTTTCTCCACTCAGACCCCGGGACACCCCACGGTTCCAGAATACTTTCTCCCCATCTAGCCACGGCGTATCCATCCTTCCTTTCTTGTCTTGGCTCAAATATCAGCCCCTGGATGAGCTCTCCCACATGCACGTCGTTTAAAGTTGAACCCCTCACTTCATCACCAGACTTTGTTTTTCTCTGTAGTATGTGGCACTTTTTAACATATAATTTGCTGATTTGTTATATTTTTGTCTGTCTTCTCAACTAAAAATGTAAAGTCCTTGAAGAGAGAGTTGTTTTTTTTTTTCCTGTCATATTTGTTATTCCATCCTCACCATCATGAAGAGGGATAGGATGGCCAAAAAATATTTGTTGAATTGAATAAGCGAATGATTTCAAAATCTCATAGATGTAAAAGATTCCATTCTATTGTTGCCAAACAATAAGCCTTACTTTTAAATTCTGAGGTACTATTTCCCTAATGAATAAATTGTTTTCATATTTCTGTGCATTTGTTTCATTTTACTCACTTTTCAAACAATTTAGAACAATTTAAAAATGCTCACAAAGTAATCAGTGATTACTGAGCAAAATTAAATTCTCACTTAGTGGAAGGAGACGCTGTGGTTCTGAGAGAGATAATTACTCTTCTCACATCATAGGTGAATCAGCAAAACCATATATTTTGGCTTTCTACTTGATGGTACTTCTTTGTCATGAAATGGAAAATAAGCTTTTGTTCACACAGTGGCTGGACAAACCAACAAATGGCTTTGCAGGACCTTGATAAACTGAGCCCTCTTACCTTCTAACTAATTTTATCTTCTATGCATTCGGTGTGCTACACAAAACTAAATATTGTCACTAAACTATACTATCTAATAGTATAGCTTAATATTGTCACTAAACTATACTATCTAATAGAGTATATGTTTATCCTTTCCTTAAGTTGTTTCCTCTGGCTAGAACTCTCATGCTGTCTCCTCTGCTTGTTGAAATCTTACTATTTCTTCATACCATAACTCAAATGCTTCCTCCTCCTGAAGGCCCTCTCACCCTATTAATCAGAAGTATATCTTGACTCTATATTCTTTTTTTTTTATTATTTCAGCATATTACAGGAGTACAAATGTTTAGGTTACATGTATTGCCTTTGCCCCACCTGAGTCTTGACTCTATATTCTACAAGCAGTTTTTGGACATCTGTCTCTTATAACCCTTATTACATTTTATAATGTATATAATTATTTGTCTATCTGTGTTTTTGCATTTCTCAGTGACATCCTCCTAGATGTTTTATTTATTTTTTTATTCACCTAAAGCCATGTGGAGCAAAAATTTAATATTTGGTCACTGAATGAAGCCAAACAAAATAAAACATTGTGAGTACAGTACCTTTATGTGCATATTCAGATATGCTGCAAATGCACCACAGAAAGAACTATTTGAAACCATCTTCTTTTAATAAGCTGAAACAAAACTCCTAATTTGAAAATGAGGGAGCTTCGACTGCCTGACAATAATATTTAAAGGTCATGAGTTATGGCTGCAGAGTAACCATAGTAACTCAGCATACACAGTACAAGTCTTGTTGTACAATAATTAAGGGAAAAAAAGCTTTAGAAAGCCTATTAGCCTTGAGATAAAACAAATTATAATTAATACATGTATTTATACAGCTTGTTTTTATTGCAATGTTTTCTTACTTCAGGGTTCATGAGGAAACTGGAAAAGCTTCTTTAAATTTCTATTGGCAAGGAGTAACAATATGACATATAAGCCATATAGTAGTCTTTTTCTCATTGCTTTATAAGAACATAAAAATTTCCTTCCTTTAAATGAAATACTTTTCTATTTACTTTCTAAGCATTTTATTCCATGCTATTTATGTAGAATTGAAATAGTAATTAGTCACCAATTAGTCCATGTGAATAAATGATTTTAATAAAATTGGTATAGCTGTTGAGCACTGAATTCCATAGGAAAGGATTTCCTGGGAAAACCCTTTTTTGTTCCTTAGGTTAAATTGCATGCAGGGCCCAAGCCTCTCTTGCTTACATAACTTAGGAGCAAGTTCCCATTCAGTTTATGTAAACTGTGGAGAAGGTCTGTCTCTAGGGCATGAGAAGAGACGAAGAGGAGGGAAAAAGAGAGGGCGGCCAGTAGACACACTGGACCAGTTTGTTCCTGCTTAGAAGGGACGGAGCTGAACTGAACCCACCGAGAGGTCAACGAGAGCAGCGTGGTTCTCCCATCCTTGCCTCAAAAGCCCTGCTCTACTCACACAGAACACTGGGCTCCTCAGACAGGAGGACAGAAATGCTAATGACAATTTACAGTGAAACAAAGTCCACCTTTTCACTTGGCTTTCTGCTGGTTGTATATAGGGCTATTTATTTCACAGTTGTTCATTGCAGGACATTTCCCTCCATTCGGTGACCTCATGTTTACCTCTCCAATTGTCTCCATATTGACATACCGTCTCTTTAGGAGCTTTGTTCAGGGAAATTAAAAGAAAATGAGTGTTTGCTAAATTTCATTTGCTTTAACAAAAAAAAAACACAAAAAACTTCCTTCCTTCCTCCCAAAGATTGTTCATCTTTTGAGGGTCATGGACTCCTTTGCACACAGAAACAACATTTTACACAAAATCTTGGGAAAATTGTGAATTTTCTTTATCATCTATGGACCACAGACCCAAGGCAAAAAGCAAATACAAATAAGTCTCACACATTCACATAAGGAAAATATGTTTTAAAGCTTAACACACAGCCACGATTGCACGCACACACCACACGTAGGCTACTGCTCTCCAGGATATAGCTCCTTCTCTGCAGAGAAAGTGGGGTCACCTCTTACTCAAGATTTAAAAGAAAATTCCAAATAGAAGATATTTCCACATTTGAAGAAGAAATGAGTATTGTGTCAACACACAAAACTTCCAGTGCTTAACAGCAGATCAGTTACAGAGATGAACTGCACTTCCACATGTGTAGCCAGAGTTGATTTGGGTATTTATTTGGGGACCATGGAGAGAAGGAATGACCCAGCTTTGTATGTGTGTAGCTCTTGGCAAAAGTGGTGAGGGCGACAATTCATTTTAGTGGTTCGGAGAGAGGGCTGGCTCAGCACCCTCTCCCACTTCCCACTCTAGTAAATAGGGCAAGTTTGTGATTTTTGAGAAGAGCCAGTGAAGGAAGTTTTATTCATTCAACAAATATTTACTGAAGCCCTACTGCATGTCAGGCCCTGCCCTATGACCTAGGAAGACAGCAGCTTTCAAAGAAATGGGTCATTCTCCAGAAAAGGGTGAAAAGTCTGTCTATTGTTATTCCCTAGACTTTAAAGAAAAGTTTTGGGGCATTTTTTGATTTTTTTTTAAGTGCTGAGTGGAGGCTACTTTATCCAGAAATTCCCATGAAGTATTTTGGGACAGGAGGAGCTGAGGACTTACCTGCTTCTCTCTGCGGTTTCAGACTCTGGGAGCACAGAGTTCTTGCTATAACATTCTCCCATCTCAAGCCAGGCCCACTAGGATCCCCTGTCCATGGGAGAGACACCAACTCTCCCCACTCCCCTTAGAGCTTTAGAATCCCTGCCAGGCTCTGATGTCCCTTGTTGCTAGGCAACCACAATGGCTATGGAAAGGACAGTTAACTTGCCAAAGAAAAAAGTCTCAGTTACAAAGCCCTCAAAACATCTCACAAATCAGATCCAGGCAGGAAAACAGATGAAGAATCACCACATAGTCATCATTTCTGGAAAACCCATTCCAAGTGGAACAGAAGCAGTGGTTTTGGGCTCAAACCAGGGCATGTTTACATCCAGAACCAGTGCTAAGGAAACAGCCACACTGGCTGTCTGAGAGGGTGCACAGCCAGCAAGGGACTGGTTTATAGGGAAGCAGCAGTTTCTCTGCAGACTGACCCCTCACTGGGGTGATCTGCTTTCCCTCCGACCCACAGGCCCCAGAGAGAAGACCTACCTGGCCACTTGCTAAGCGAAGCTTTCTTCCTGGCATAGGATGGCAGAGGAGATGCACTAATGAGCTGGTGTTCTGCTCACTGTCACTGCTCCTTCTTTCTTGGTGACTGTCTGAAGTTACCAGCCAGCCACTTTCTCCAAGCCAGTTGTTATCTCTCTCCCTGGATGCGTTTATGGACCCAGATGGGCTCTGGCGGGAAGTACAGGTTTGAGCTCTGCAGTCTACAGATCAGAATCACTTCTGGGTTTTGATTTGTAAGTCCTAGACTCATCAAACCTATCACACCACCCACTCCAAAATCAATCAGGTAGGTATGACAGCAAGTTTCTAATCACAGAATTTGTTTCTAGAGTTGAAGCATATAGAGCAAATAACTGCAATAGTAGTAGGAATGAATAGTTGGAACTTATCAATTCATGAGTGTAATTAGCATCTATTTCACCAATAAAATTTTAAGTTACCCCCCCTTGGTAAAACAACTCTTTGAGTAAAGTTAAGAACTATTGAGCAGTTGTTCTGGGTGGGAAAGTCCACACTAACTGGGTAGATGAAGAAAGGCAAGGACTGGGCCGCTGGCGTTGCGTCTAGTTAGCAACCTGTTCAGGATTACAAAATCATCTTACCTCTGCATGCTTTGGTTTTCTTATTTTTAAAAGAACCACTTAAACTATTTCTGTTATCCCTTCCAGTTCTAAGTTTGTTCTGTGTTCTTTAGTCCATCTTATTAAAAAAAACCCACAGAGTGGATTATATAATATTTTAGTACATTTTTGAGGAATGTGCAAATGTTCACCATGTAGTTGGCTCATAATATTTTATAAAGGGCAGGTCATCTCAGTAATGGCTGGTGAAAAGCACTGTTGGCACTAATTATTTATAATGGTTATTAATCTTATCGTACATCTGGCTGATCAAAAAGAGAGGCGGAGAGATATAGCTGGCACAAAAACAGACTTTCAAAAAGTCCTTGAAAAACAAAATGACTTTTCTATTCTCATTCCTCCGTAAAGGAATACTGCATGGAAGGATTTCAAAAGGTGGTGGTGAAATTAGCAGATATATCAAAGACATATTGGCCAACAGAATTCTGGACTAAAAAGGCTAACTAGTGAAATAAGGAAAAGTACTCATGAATGAAAGTCATTCAGATGATCTTATTTTTAAAAATTAAAGTAAATTTTAAGAAAAACTATTAATCCAATTTTCCCATATTGGCCTAAAGGAAAAAAAGGGTATTATTAATATAACAAAACTTGTAGAAATATATGTAAATCATTGGCGCTTACACCATTAACATTATTTTAAACTGAAAATATTCTGTAAGCTTATTGGGGTTCCTGTACACTACTACGTTCAATTTGAAAACGTAATTACATTGTAGACCGTCAAAAATGTATCTTTTCTTAGAATCAGAAATCACAAATGTGCATATGACAAGGAGGAATTTCATATGTTCTGCTGCCGGTGATTATCAGGGTGCCTGATCCAACTTAGATCCAACTTTCTGGCACCCGAGGGCCAGAAAGGAGGGCAGAAGGGAAAGCACAGCACCGAGACAGCAGGCCGGGCAGGCCGATGTGCAATGAAGTGACGTGTCTGAGGAGGGAGAGCAGCTGCGGAGGGGATCTGTAGTCTGTGCTCGGGAAAGAGCCCTCTGTTTCCGTCTGTCCACTCACTCTTTTATTTGTTTATTCATTTTTTTCACCAAATATTTATTGAAAACCGACCGTGCGCTAGGCCTGGTGCTCGGCTAATGAAATAGAGACTGCCTCTGCGCTCGTCATTCCCTCAGGGTCACCGTTCCAGTAGCCATTAATGTCCTACTGGAGAACCAATAATTAAATAGAGCAGGTCTTGGATTTCCAAAATACACATCCCAAGCACTGAAAAAACGATAAGCAGATAAATTCAAACAGGGGCACGTCCTGGGTGTTCCTCCTGCGGCCCACAACCTTAGGAAGAAATGGAACTGCCTTTCTTGGAGTTGACCTCGGGAAGTTCACTATGCTCTCACTGTGATGAACACAAGGTGACTGTGCCCATGTCTGGGAATGTGCTGTGTGTGGTTGGGGAGGACAAGAGGAGAAGGTGAAGGTGACAGAGAGACCAAAGTCACAGCACACAAACAAGTACAAATCAGGGCATGAACCACAACAACCAAAACATCTTCCAACTGATAGCAAAGGCATTCCTTCTTTTTCTCTCAAGACTGAGCTAGCTCCCTGGTTACTGTTTTTCTGACCTCTTCCCTGTGTTGCTGATTGCTTGATACAGTGGGTCTAATTATCTCCAGGTTCCAGCCTGTGCTAATGGAGAGGGATGTTTATCTGTGTAAGCAGAGAGACTTGTCTGCCCCTGTGGTCCTACATGCTTTACTCAGGAAGCATACGGATGAAATTGACAGCTGTTAATTGATGAGCAGGGATGTATACTTTTCATTCATGGCCTGTTTGTGGCAGGAAAGAAACGTTCCTGCTCCCTCCTTACTATTCGTTACTTCAGTGAGCATTTGTCCCTCGCAAATCCCTAGTGGTGTTTGATTTCCCTGTGAGAATTGTGTCTCTCCCCTTGTATATTGATTTGGAGGGACAGCAAATTCAGGTACCTGGCCTTGCCACATAACCTAAGAGGGAGCAGACCCTGCTGAGACAGAGGTCTACACAGCATTAAACTTGGCTCTTCAGCAATTGGATCCCGGGTCTTTGAATCTCAAACAGGTAATATAAGAAGGAAAGAAACAGCTGAAGTTCTAGTCATCACTCATTTATTGAGGTTCTGCCATGTAGCAGGCATTTTTCTGGATGCTGGTTTAACAGTGGCAAGAAAGACAGCTGCTCCCATGAATTTCATACTGTGGTTGGTAGAGGCAAAGAAATACAGAAGATAATTACAGACAGGGACAAGTACTCTAGAGAAAATAAAAATAAAAGAATATGATAAGGCTAGGACCGAGAGGTAACATAGAACCGAGACGTGAAGGATGAGAAGGGAGCAGCCTTGGGGCGGTTGCAGGGAAGGTGTACCGCCAGAGATGGCATGACCCCAGACCACAGAAACACGCCTGAACAGCACCATTAAAAGACAAACTTCTCTTGACCTTATGTCTTTCTGGGCTCTCCTTCATTAAAAAATCTTCAAAAAAGTAGCTTATTTTTCCATGCTTTCTTCAATCTTCTCCAAGCAAATACTCATAGACTCCAGTGGAATGGCTCTCCTCTGGTCACCACTGACCTCCTCCTTGTTCTTAAACAGCAATGTCCTGGCCCACCTTTTCCTGGTATGAGTCCGGCGTCTAATCTCTGGAGTAGCTGTGGTTTCTGCGCGTTCCCAGCCTTCTGCTGATTCCATGAGCCCCCATATGCTGCCAATTCTTTCCGTTTTTCTCTTCTTAGCCAGAATTTTTTTCTATCACTTCCAACCAATAAAAGCCTAATTCATGCATTTATATTTTTCATATTACTGTTAAACAGGGAAAATAACTGTTCAACTAAGAACACCATTCTCATTCACTTTTGCTTACATTCACTGTTTTCCTTAAAATGCTAGCTACTACTATATTGATGAATACATATTTATGTTTCTCCTATGGTTAATTTTTTCTTATAGTACTCACTTCTTGAGAGTAAATCATTCATTCATTTGAAAATATTTATTATTGTCTATGTGCCTAGGACAATTTGAGACATTAGAGATAGGCATTGTTCAAAATAGGCATGGTTCCAAGACATAACCAAATGGTGATCCTGGTACACTGAAACCAAGAAATTTCTCTTATGGGTTGTTTCTGCTGTTAGTATGTTTTAAAATATCCTTCTGTCTTTTCTAAGGCTTTGTTACTCTAGGCTCTTTTATGTTTAATTAGGAACTTTTATGTTTAATTAGGAACTTTTATGTTCCTAATTATGTCTCTAACAAAATTTCTTAGAGACTCATTAGCTATAAAATTAAATATGATTGTTCTAAATATTAGATTTTTATTTCTTTAATCATTTTCATATACTTTTAATATAGAATCTAATCTCAAATAAGTAAAAACAAGCAAGGTGGTAGTAGAGAACCCTAAGAAGCCGTTTCTCAGAAGTCTTCCCCACCACGCCTTCCTCATGGCTCGCAGTGGGTGGGGAAGGTGTTGGGTGGGGTGGTGCTGGGAAGGGCGCTCTCAGCTGCGAGACGCAGCAAAGGCAACTCACAGTGGTTAACTCATGAGGGAATCTGCTGGCTGATGTGACGAGAAGGTCCAGAAGTTATAGGTGCTTTAAGGTTAATTGGTGATGCTATCAGAGCACATGGTCATTCCATCTTCCATAAACAATGTGGCTTCTTCTGAAGGCTGGCCTTCCTCGTGGGCATGGAGTTGGCTGCCAGCAGTAACTGAGGTGACTTTGTGCGGTGACTTTGTGCGTGGTTGGAGACAGAGAAAGAGGATCGCTTTCCATAGCCTTAGAACAGAAGTTCTTTGTTTGCTTCTAATTGAGTAATTCAAAATAGCTAATCACTGTGACTGAGGAAATGTCAATTGGGTTCAGTCTGAAATCTATACCCACCCAAACCAATCACTGTGCAGTGGGGAAAGATCCAGCAGACCCACCCTTAGAACCACCTGTGGGATCAATCCCACTCACATTCCAGCACTACCACATAGTCGGGGAGGGCGAAATGTATTTGGGGGGCTCTAACACTGTCCAGCACAGATAGACATTTGCATATGACTTGTATATCATTCATATGTATTTCTTCTTTGGTTATTTAACCAGTGAAATAATCATGATCGTATCTTTAATATAAGGTGTTGCCTTATATGTGTTTTACATAATTTTTTCATATTATCTAAACTAGAAAAATATTCAGTAAGATTAATTTGCTATTACAATCATTACTGTATTTCTATTCTTTGTTAATGAAGTATCATATACTAGTAAGGAGAACAAAAAGTTAAAGATAGGGTCGGAGAACACTTAATATAATTTGAGAATCACAGTCTTAGACAAAAGTATAAACTTTATAAAGTATAAACTTAATAAACAGTAATTAACTAGTTGTTATCCCTTTCTTTCTTTTAAAAAATTGGAAGTTCCTTGGATTTAACTAGTTGTTTATATATAATTTATTTTCAGCACTTAATACTTACAATATGCTTTGTGCTCACTTACCTCATTACATTGGCAAAATTATCAGTCACGTTGCAGCTGTAGCTTAGGAATCATTCTGAAATTTTTATGTCTACTGATGAGTTTAACTTAGAAAACATATCCATATAAACGCTCTATTCCCCCAAAGTGATAAATCTTTATATTTACTTTGATAAAA